CCTTGAATCATTTCAGGGCCCTTGAAATGTCCCAAAGCCAACTCTTGATTAAAGTCTTGAAATTTAATTTGGAAAGACTATCAAATATACATAACCAAAAGATTATATTATACACTTCTTGTAATTATTCTAAAAGATATCAATTAAATTTAAACTGGTTTTAATATTAAAAATTTGGTTCAGACCATAGAATTAATCCTTTTTCTTAATCAGGCCAATAAAATATTATATCCTAGGTTGAAACTTTACCACATGTAGTACACACAAGGACTACAATGTATTTTGAACTACTAATTTCTCCAGAGCAAAGGTAAGAATTATTTTCCTAAAAATAAATTTCCATACTTTATGCATTTTATTATTACAACCATATAATTTTTCCCAATTTAATTTGAATTTTTAACTTTTGGAAGCTTCACATTTTAGGTGGCAAGTTAAATACTTAGCATTTCTTAGATTGATAATATATTTACATTTTTAAGGATATATTTCAAATAAAATACAAGACATTCATTTAATAGAATCAAATCTATCCTCTAGATTTTTCATGAGACAAACTAAGATTAATATTTTAGTATTTTGTCATTTTAAAATACCTAGATATTTAATAATTTTTATTATTTAATTCAGCAAACTCCAAAGTTTTAAGTTACCAAAGATTTTGGAAAAATATGTTTAGTCATATATAATTACCACTGAAAAAGATTTACCATATATCTATCATTTTAGTTATGTATATTATGCCTTAACAACTTTGAGATTTTAAAGCCAATTATTATTATCCAAGGCATTTTCTTTGGCAAATTCTGTAACAGAGATAACTTACTGACTTTCAGTGGCTTTAATGTTAAAGTATTATTTTATTTTTCTTTATAAAAACAGGAGTGCTCTCCCCCCCCCACCTGTGAGGCAACCTTGGAATGAGGTCTATTATTATTCAAGAACTGTCCTTTATCATGGAAACATTAATTTCGTTGCCCAAACACAGCCGGTATGTTTTCCTTGTGTCATTTTTGCCATCTTTTAAATAAAAACAATCTTGGGTCTATTCCATAGCATCCGTGAAGAGATGGGGCTTAGGCCAAGAGGCCACTCAAAATCGGGTGAGGTGCACCTTCTCTTAAGCTAGCCTTTTTCTCTTCATTGGTATACAAATCCCAGACACATCCCTAAATTGTGAGAAATGTCTCATCTATCCAAATTTCAAATGACAGACTGGGAAATAAAAACATGGTGAAAATGAGACTTTTAGTAACACTCTCAAGAGTGGGCATCCATTTTACAGGATCACCAAAACACCTAGTAATTAATGGGCTGGGGCCTTTTTTTAGTTACTTCGCTTTGTCAATGATTTATCCTAGAACCTGTGTTATCAGCCACATGTACCGCTCATATTCTTTCTCCCCACCCCCACATTCTGTTTGCTCTGGGGAAATTTAGTAATGGCCTGGCCATCTACTGTTTCTTTTCTATTAAATTAAATCAGTGGTTCCCAAACTTATTTGGCCTACCGACCCCTTTCCAGAAAAAATATTACTCAGCGCCCCCTGGAAGTTAATTTTTTTAAATTTTAATAGCAATTAAACAGAAAGATATATGTATTAATGTTTCTACCTTTTTCGTAAAATATAGTAAAGAAAGGTGTAAATTAGAAACATTGAAGTTTGAAATTATGAAACTATTTATTGAACTCAGAATAGAAAGGTAATACAAAAAAAGTTAAAACAAATGCACCTGTGGCCATCACTGCCCCCCTGGATCGCTGCAGCACCCACCAGGGGGCGGTAGTGCCCACTTTGGGAATCACTGAATTAAATTAAAGGCGTGCTTAATAAACAAATTAAACCAAACAAAAAAGACAGATAAAACAACAATCAACAGACAAGCATGCATAACACATAGACAAGACTTAATAAATCAGAGTTCTTTTCATGGATCTTTCAGATGTTTTACATTGCCTGGGACTTACAGCCAGAATGCAGCCTAGATCTCAGCCTGTTGTTCACAGATCTTATCCTATTCTGCTCTCCATAGCATCGACTGGTGTCTAAAGTTGTTTTAGCTAAAATCTGCCAGTCCCAAGGCATCACATGGTAATTTTCAGACAAAGCATTAAAGAGCTCTTTTGTGAAAGGACTGTTAGCCTCATTTGCTCTAGCTGTTGAGCCTTCCCACACTAGAGGCGGAGGATCTGGGGCTTAGGTGTTACAGACTTTTGATCCTCAATATGAAGTGGGCATAATGCAGTTCGAACAGGAGCCACCATAGTTAAAGATGACAAGGGCACTCGTTTCCCTTGAGCCTGATTTAAGACAGTACCTTTTGACACCTTAATTCCTTTATCCTTGAGCATGCAAGCTAAAAATTTACAATGATGTTTTTGCCTTTTACTCAAATTCTTGCCCATAATAACCTGGATGAATCAAAACGTTCCTCATCCACTTATGGTAGCGACTCTGAAGCTAGCACAGGCTTTGTGTGCAGTGAACTTCCCACCTTTCCGGGGAATTTCCACTTTTCCTTTTTCACTTTGTTTTTCGCTCAGGTGACACTTCCTCTCCAGATTCTTGTTCATGGTGCCAGAATGTCGAAACCTTTTGAGGCAGGGGTTCAGGATCTGAAGGAGGGGCTGATGCACAAATGAAAATACTATACAACAAATATGAATTTAGAAGGCATGGGGGGCCAGGTGGAGACCTCTCTCTTGGTGAGGCACACTGAAACCTGGCCTTATCTGATTTTTATTCAGTTTTAGATAAACATCTTGTCCTCAGTAAAGCATGGCAAACAGGTAGCAGATAGATGGTTTCTAAAGTCAATAAAGATCAGTAAAGATCCATAAGGTTCAGTAAACATTTACTTTGAGGCCATTAGGTCAGGAAATTGCTTCAAGCAACCATATCTCATTACGGAACAATCAGTGCTGAGCATCAGCCTGCTAACTCCCAAGGTCCTTCAGCCTTCCGCGTTCCTTGGTGTACTCTTATGACAGTGTTGGGAAAGTGGTGACTTCCTGCAAATCATGATATATCTTGATGAGGGCTCTTTGGATTCTTGTTTGGAACTCTTTTCTCTTCTTAGATTTTTGTGTTCTTTTCCTTCACCAGGTTTGTAAAGTTTTCAATCATTATTTTTTCACAAATAGGTTCTCCATCTCTTGCTCTCTTTTCTCATTCTGTTACTCCTATGATGTGCCTGTTTTATGTTTCATGTTGTCCCAAATGTCCCTAGACTATCCTCACTTTTTAAAAATTATTTTTTTCTTTTTGTTCTTCAGATTGGGTGTTTTCTGATACCTTGTCTTCAAAATCACTAATTGGAACCTATGTTTCATCTAGCTTGCTGTCAATTCCTTCTAGTGTGTTCTTCATTCCATCAGCCGTGGGCAAACTATGGCCCGCGGGCAGGATTCGGCCCGTTTGAAATGAATAAAACTAAAAAAAAAAAAAACCCTTTTATTTAATGATGTTTACTTTGAATTTATATTAGTTCACACAAACACTCCATCCATGCTTTTGTTCCGGCCCTCCGGTCCAGTTTAAGAACCCATTGTGGCCCTTGAGTCAAAAAGTTTGCCCACCCTAGATATTGTATTCTTCACCTCTGACTGGTTCTCTTTTATGGATTTTATGTGCTTTTTATACTTACTTTCTCTTTGTTTAAATTCTCATGGATTTCATCCATTCTTCTTTTAATTTCCTTGAACATCCTTATAACAATTTTTGAACTCTCTATTTGGTAGCTTGCTTGCCTACATTTTATTTTGTTTATTTTGGGGCACTTTATACTGTTCTTTTATTTGGAGAATATTTCTTTGTCTTCTTATTTTTGGCTGCTTCTCTATATTTGCTTCTGTGTATTAGGTAGATATGCTGTGTCTCCAGTCTTGACATGTTGTGTTTATGTAGTAGGTGTCTGTGGGCCTCAGTGGCACAGTCCCCTGGAATGTCCCTTGTGTGTTATGTGAATATATTTATCTTGATTTCTGTTGTAGATTTATCTCGATTTCTGCTGGCTTATCCATGGATGAGGTTGCCTCTCTGACTAGCTGACTAGCTGACTATGAGAATCAACTGTAACCACACTGTGAGTTCTTGTGCAGATGCTAATCCCAGAAATCAGAATTCACTCCAGCAGATTCTAGTGACTGCTGAGATCTACTTTTGTATGTGCAGCATATAGATCTATTTGGGTCATGCTCTGATGTGGTCTTGTGTTGATTCTGGGGCCATTGGAAAGGAACTCCAGTGCATTCAATGTCAGGCATTGCCTGTGTCTGTCCCTGGGCCACCTGTCTGGAGCTACTAAGTGATCCACAGTTTGTGGGTGCCTCTGCTGGGCATGGCTATGCATGGCAGTGGCCAAGTTACACTCCGAGGCCAATTTCCACCAGTACTGAGCTTGGGGAAAGGTCAACAAAAGGCCCAATGCCCCCAAAATCTGCCTCTATCTGCTAGCTGACAGGCTCCATCATTGGAAGAGCCTCTTGTAGTAGTACACAAGTTAAGTGAGAACATGTTCTAAATGAGGCATCATGTAGGGGTGAATTGTGTTCATCAGATTGATATGGGTTCAAACTCCCTGCCAGTCCTAAGTCTGAGGACACTCAGCAATAGTCTAAGAGCACACCAAGGCCAGCTGCCACCAGTTGGGTGCCCACAGACCTTTGTGGTAGGATTGAGTGTCAGAAAGTCATCAGGGTGAGGTCAGCAATGTTTATTAGTCCCAAACAGACCAAGATTTAGCCATGTGAAGGGAGGGCTTTGCACAGAAACGGGGTGTTGATTGGACATGCGAGGGAAATATAACCCTCACCCAAGAGCCACACAACTTTGTCTTTCCCAGAGTTTGCACATATCTGCTCAAGAGTCTTCCAAACGATTTTGCACTGTGGGCTCAGGCTGGCCACAGCCAGCTAACAATATTCCTGAGTGCAAGCCTAGCAGGGAGGGGCCAACGGGATTCAGGAGAGTGAAGCTAGTGTTTACCTTATGGTGAGACAGTGCTGCTGTGGTATACAGACTGGGTTGCTGCTGCTCTGGCAGGTAAGTGGGGGGGAAATGGTCCCACCCTAGAACCATTCAACTCAGTGTTTGATACCCTCTGCGTTCACCCTCAAGAGTCTTTCAAAAAAGTCTATACTATGGGCTCAGGCAGCAGACTCCCCCACAGTGCATGATCGTGACTAGGCAGAGCAACAGGGAGTCCGGAGTTCCTCCAGGCTGATGCAATATGGAGCGGAGTGCTTGACACAGAAAAGATGGTGGTTGTGGGCAGTTTGTCAGAGGGACTCAGCGCAGGGACCCTGACAATTGTCCCTTCAGCTCTCTCACCGGAGCCACACAACCCAGTCTCTCTTTGCACAATCTTAGTCCACTCTGAGGCATGCTCCCTCTGATGGAGTTCAGGGAAAGTGAGTGCAAAGCAGATTTTGTGTGTTGGCCCTTATAGAGGGCGCCTGGGTTTCTAGCAGACTCCTGTCCCTCTGTGATGAGCAGAATCTCCACTGATTTTCACAGCCAGATGTTATGAATGCTCCTCTTTCTGGCTCCAGTGCTTCAGACTTGGGAGCCCAGAACGGGGTTGAGGCCCCACACTACTTAAGGGGGACCTCTGCTGCTGAGATGTCCCTCAAGATTCTCAGCCACCACTTAAAATCTGTATGAAATTATTGTCACATTTGTTTGCCAGTTAATATAATAAGTGTTCATGTTCTATTCCAGTACTTATGACAGTTTGGGGACTCTATGGCAAAAGACATACTAACTTTATTTCTTTTTTCCTCCTTTAAAATGGTTGGACAAAGAAACATAATGATAACTTGTGGCCCAGTGCACAAAATTCATGCATGGGGGATGTCCCTCAGCCCGGCCTGCACCCTCTCCAATCTGGCACTCCTTGGGGGTGTCTGACGGCCTAAACTGGCAGTAAGACATCCCTGTCGCAATCTGGGACTGCTAGCTCCTAACCGCTCACCTGCCTGCCTGCATGATTGCCCCTAACCACTCTTTCTGCTGTCCTTCTTGCCCCCAACTGTGGCCCCTGCCAGCCTGCTCGACCCCAACTGCCCTGCCCCGCTGGCCTGATTTCCCCCAGGGCACATCCCCAGTAGGGGGCGTGCAGGAGGCAGCTGATCGATGTTTCTCTCTCATCAATGTTTCTAACTCTCTATCCCTCTCCCTTCCTTTCTGTAAAAAATCAATAAAATATATTAAAAAAATAAAATAGTTGGACAAAGAAACAATGATAACTAGTGGCCTGATACACGAAATTTGTGCATGGGGGGAAGGGTGCCCCTCAGCACATCCTGCACCCTCTCCAATCTGGGACACCCTTGGGTGATGTCCTACTGCCGGTTTAGGCCCGATCCCTGCAGAATCAAGCCTAAACCGGCAGTCGGACATCCCTCTCACAATCTGGGACCGCTGGCTCCTAACCACACAAATGCTTGCTTGCCTGATCGCCCCTAACCACTCTGTCTGCCAGCCTGCTCACCCCAAACTGCCCTCCTGCCAGCCTTCTTGTCCTTAACTACACCCCCTGCTGGCCTGTTCACCCCCAACTGCCCCCCCTCACTGTCCTGATCTTGAGATGACCTATGTGACTTAACTTAAGCCTGGGCCCAGAACCATTGCCTCCCAAACCCTGAAGGTTTCACAGGTGAGGAAAGTGAGGCCTGAGAGCGGGAGGGACTAGTCCAGCCGTGGGCAAACTACGGCCCGCGGGCTGGATACGGCCCGTTTGAAATGGATAAAACTAAAAAAAAAAAAAAAAAACCCGTACCCTTTTATGTAATGATGTTTACTTTGAATTTATATTAGTTCACACAAACACTCCATCCATGCTTTTGTTCCGGCCCTCCGGTCCAGTTTAAGAACCCATTGTGGCCCTCGAGTCAAAAAGTTTGCCCACCCCTGGTCCAGAAGGACATCGAGAAGGTCTCCCGAAAGGTCTCCTGGTCTAAAGAGCATATTACCCTTTTTTTAGTATAGATGTTTAATAAAAATTGTCTGCAGATTATGCTAACACTGGAAGTGAACCACTAATTAATTTTATTTTAATCATCACTATTGGTGTACTCTGTAGGTGTAAAATTTGGCTTCTACACTGTCATCATTTCTTGGGGGCCAGACTTCAGAAACGTCATAGATAGTTCTGAGGTCTTTGGCCTTGCTCTGAAGTTACTGGCTGCCCAAGTTATCACTCGAGGTGGTGAATTTTTCTACATTGTCTTGGTCTTT